AGGTGTATGTGGCTGGCGCCTTAGCCACTTGAGCTACAGGCGCCGAGCCTCCTGTTCAACTTCTAAAAATGCTTAAGCAATCACTTTTTGGATAGGGATTATCACGGGCAATCTAGGTATCCAAACAACTTGAAAGAGATATATTAGTTTGCAATGGGACAATGAAATAGCAAATTGATATAATCCCAAGAACACAAAAATTGAACACTTGTCTAAAGTACACAGTTAAGTTTTTAAACCATTTACTGTTGAGTAGGGATTCAATGAAAGTCTGTACAAGGTACACATGAAAACATGCTACTAAAAACCTGCCTCAGATTATCAGCTAGAAAGAATTTATTTATAAAGCCACCTGAAAAGTTTTTAGGTTCTAAAAAATATGAAATAACACCTGCCTTTCTGCCACTAAGTAACTGTTTGACAGATAAGTTATATCAACCTATCTTGAGCCTAGCTTACTTAAAGATTCCATTTGCTAAGGTTCTATCTGAGGTTTAAAATGTATACTCTAAAACATATGACCCAATATCTAACTATACATAACACCTTACGGAATATAAATAACCATAAACAAGCACATGTATCTGCAATTAGTCTAAAATTACAATCAGGAATGTAGCAGAAGAAATGCATCCATATAAAACTGAGCCCCAAAGGAAGCAAGAACTGTTCTACCCCCCTATCCCTCAGGTAAACTTGTACAAAAGGAAAAACCACACACAAACACACAATGCAGTTACTATACATATTTTCATGTTTTTTAATAAGCTGACTCATTTTATTTTGTATAAAAACAAGCTCTCTATTCAAAATCTCTTACCTGATAAAACAAGAGATGTATTTTCTTAACAAGAAGTAGAGGCCAAGTCAATCCTGTGGGCAACCAATTAAAACCAACTTTTAGACTGCAATAGAGAATAAATGGAGGCAAAAATCAATGCAGGAAACACAAATCACTCACAGGCCACACTGAACTGTACATTATGAAGGCGAGTCTGAAACCACCAGAGTACTTCATTAGAAAGCATGTCCAAAAAAAAAAAAAAAGAAAAAGAAAGGAAAGACATGAACCAAATTCCCACATGTGCTTTTTGCTTGCTTTTGCCTTTAAATTTGAGTATGTCTCAAAATATTTACATATTTATATACATCAAGAATGTGTCAGAAATTAGCCCCAAAATGAACTGATTGAAAACTAAAACAGTCATGAAGCTCAGCTTTACAGGTGGTAACTGCTTTTATCACTTGATAATTAAACCAGTCCAGAAAACAAGTCTACTTCCCCAGGTTCTCACCAAAGTTTTGATGATAAAGAACAAGTTTGCACAATAACAATTCCTAGAAAAAGTAAGTCATCAATTTAAGGATACTCATGAAAGTTACTGCAAGTACTATTTCAACATATTTTCTTTTGCACCAAAACACATCAAATATCATAAAACAAATGAAATAAAAGTTGTGGCTATAAAGACTAATTCCCCTGGGGTTCAAACTACTAAAGGAAAGTACTTTTTCTTCTGATGTCACAAAAGTTCCAAAAAAACCTCTTTAAAAAAATCCCTAAGTGTCTGGCATATTAAGAGCACTTCCCCAAGCAAAAACAGTCACTCAACTTTCACTAGAACTTTTTCCAAAATGGTGAAGTTATGAAACAATTCCCAAGCAATCTATAATAACCAAATGACTACATAACTGTATTTAGAAGGTTATTTTTTTAATTCAGAGAAAAAAGTAGAAGAAAACTGTCACTGTTCAGTACTAAGATTATCAACAGAAGGCTTGCCTGCTAGGGCACGACCCCCACACACTGGAGCTGGCAGGTTCAAACCCAACCAGGGCTCCATTGTTGCCAAACAACAATGACAACTACAATAGAAAAATAGCTGGCCTTTGTGGTGGGCACCTATTGTCCCAGCTACTTGGGAAACTGAGGCAAGAGAATCACTTAAGCCCAAGAGTTGGAGGTTGCTGTGAACTGGGATGCCATAGCACTCTACCGAGGGCAACACAGTAAAACTCTGTCTCAAAAAAAAAAAAAAGATTATCAACAGAAGACTACTTATCCAATAATGCTCTAATTCTTTCAAGATCAAGACACTAGTGAGCTTAATATTCACCATCAAAAAGTAAAACATAATTCAAAAATTTGAAGTGTCATTCCAAACTTTCTAAAAGATCAAGGTAAACATCCCCTAGTCAACTATTCAAATTAATAAAGAACACTGAGATTGTTTAGCCACAAAAAGCTATGCAAATGTCCATCCATATACTTTCAAAAGCCCAAAGCATGGTACAAATCTAGTCTAATTACACCTAAAGAATCTAAACTCTGTTCAATTAAAAGTCGTGGCTCGGCGCCTATAGCTCAACCGGCTAGGGCGCCAGCCACGTACACCTAAGGTGGCGGGTTCGAATCCCCAGCCCGGACCCGCCAAACAACAATGACGGCTG